CGAAAATTATATGCTAGTATTAGGGTTATTGCTTTGGAACTTTTATTTGCATGTATAAATAGAGAAAAACTTAGATCCAAAGCAATTAGGGTTGCATGATCACATAGGAATGTTGTTATGCTCAAAACTCATCAGTGATATCAGAGCCTAGGATGTTTTTCTGTTATATTTGATGCAATAGTGAACTGTCCAAATCGAATGTAAAGTAGAAATTGTTTTCTGCCTGAAAAACTCGACGAGTTCAAGAGGAACTCGACGAGTTGGATGAACTCCACGAGTCCATGCCCTGACTCGACGAGTTGACTCGTCTGTTAGCAGATTTTTCGAATTTTTGATCTATTTTGGATTAGGATAATTACCATAAATCGTTTTTATCTCCATAAATTGATTTTGCTGAATGGTAATCTGATTTCCTTGTCAAAAAAATAGATTTGGTCAAATTTAAGATAATAATAAAATTATATGATTAATTTAAATTGTTTGAAATTTGATCTAGTAATTTTGAAAGTTTCAAATTACACCCTTTAAGTTTTGGAATTTAAAATTTAATTAAAAGTTTAATTTTGAAATATTAAATTCTAAAACCCTAGTGTTTTAAAAGTTTATAATACAACTCTTATACTATTATAATATTAAAAGATATATATATATATATATATATATATATATATATATATATATATATATATATATATATATATATGTGTGTGTGTATAAGATGAGTCTGTCTTACCGTTAGTAGGCCTCATTCACGAAGCTGGTCTATAAGGGTGTTTAAGGAAGCGGCCTGTAAAATGACCGCCATTGGGTATCTATTCTTACCCCCGCACTCTTGACTAGTGGAGGGTTGTTAGACGAACGGGTAGGATAGGACATTAACTCTTTCATTAATAAGTATAATGATAAATATAAAGTAACTAAATTTTTTTTTATAAATTCCCAATCTTAGTTACTTTAGGAAAATGTGAAATTGGTGCTAGTCCATGAAATTGCACATTGCACATTGTCAAGTCGTTAGTGGAGCATGTGAGGCTAACCGGCACACTAATTTGGACTAGCAAGGGTGGCAATGGGTAACTCGTAAATTATCATTGATCAATAGAGCGTGTGTGGATAACCGGCACATTGATTAGGTGGTAAATGACATCGAGGGTACCAAGCTAATTTGCATGGTTATTCACACCTTGTTTGTGATCCTCGGTATCCCATTCACAAACTTGAAGGACATAATAGAGATTAAACATGCCATTGAAAAGTTCAATGAATCTCAAAGAATCTAGGAATTTCATTTCATTTAAAACCTAATTCTTTTCGTTTTTCATGGTGGAATTGGTAAATCGTAATTTACCTACCTTCAAATAATTTATAATTGGATTACGGCATCCCTCTTCCGAATTGTGAATTATTGTGTTGGGTCCTAGCCTTAATATTTCATTTTGGGTGTTATATTAAGGATTCCTTATCTAATCAAAACTTTGTCCTTCTTCTTTTTCAGATGTCTACCTCATACAACGCTTCCGGTTCCTCCAACAACAACTCCTTCTCGCTCTTGAACATTTGTGCGAGGGTCACGTTCAATGGTTCCAATTTCAATAATTGGATCTGGAACATTCGAATGGCCTTGCGTTACGAGGGAAAAAAATATGTCCTCGACAAACTGTTAAAAGAGGTTGATGAGTCCAAAGCTACTCCCGAAGAAATAGTTGAGTATGAGGCTCACTACAAGGATGCTACTAAGGTGTCCTGTATTATGGTAGCCACCATGACTCCTGAGCTACTACGGTTCTACGAGGACTATTGGTCTTACGATATGTGCAAGGACTTGATGGAAAAGTAGCATCAAAGAGCACGTCAAGAGAGGTATGAAATAGTCAACTCGTTCATCACCACCAAGATGATGGATGGAGAGTCCATCACGTCCCACCTGCAACGCATGCAGAGATATGTGGATCGTCTCTTGAAGTTGAATGTGAACTTCGATGAATAGTTATCTATTGACATAGTCCTACACTCTTTGCCTCCTTGCTATGATCAGTTCAAGATGACTTATCATATGAGCAATGTGGAAGTCACATTGAGCAAGCTTCAAGGCCTGCTGAGAACTGCTGAAAGTGGATTATAAGGGAAAAGTGTCAAATCTAATCCCACTCCTTCTGCTACCCCAGTCCTGGCTATTGGACATGGAAAGGGGAAAAAGAGGAAATCTCCATCAAAGAACTGGAAGGGAAATTCTCATGATGGATCTTCTTCTAGTGGGTCCAAAGCTAAAACTGGTTCTGTCCCTCCCTCCTCCGATCCGAAAGAAGCAATGTGCTTCTACTGCCACGAAAAGGGGCATTGGAAGAGAAGTTGCCTGAAGTACTTGTAGGACATCAAGGATGGGAAGATAAAGCCCTCATTTACAGGTATTTATACTATTTTGTCTAATAACTCATCACATGCTAGTTCTTGGGTCCTTGATACAGGATGTGGTTTTCACATTTGTTCTGATTTACAGGGGCTAAGAAGAAGTAGGGATGTGGAGCATGGGAAGATGAACCTGATAATGGGGAATAGGAAATCATCGTCTGTCACCAAGATCGGAGTTTACTCTTTAGTGCTTAATAGTGGGTTAGTATTAGACTTGAATGATTGTTGCTACTCATCAGAAATGACGAGGAATATTATTTCCTTTCATGGTTTGTATAGAAAAGGCTTTAGATTTTCGTTTAATAATGAAATTGGTTCTATTAATGCTTATTATAATGGTTTATTTTATTTTGAAGCATTGCCTTGTAATGGTGTATATGAAACTGTGATGGTTGTAGATAACTTAGGAAATAATGTGTTGCATATTGATTTGTCTAATGCTTTAGACAAAGCATGCTTGTGGCATTGTCATCTTGGACATGTCAACAAGAAGCGCATTGCCCAACTCCAAAAGGATGGAGTGTTGGAGTCATTTGACCTTAAGTCAGATGACACATGCGAGTCTTGTTTACTTGGAAAGATGACTAAACCACCTTTCACTGGTACTTGTGAAAGAGGTGAGGGATTTTTGGATCTCATACACACAGATGTGTGTGGGCCCTTCAGATCCACGACAAGGTACATATCAAGGTTTGGGGCTGTGAAGCTTTCGTAAGACGAGAGACTCATAACAAGCTTGAACCTCGAAGTGAGTGGTGTATTTTCATCGAGTACCCACAAAAATCCTTTGGATATCTATTCTATAGACCTAGTGATAACGTGGTCTTTGTAGCAAGGAGAGGAGTTTTCCGCGAGAGGGAATTCTTATGCCAAGGGGACAGTGAGAGGACAATTGTTCTTGAAGAGATTCAAGAATCAAGCGGTGAAGGAACCTCAAACACTAGCGTTCAACCTGAGGAAGAGATTCCTATGGAACCCATTGACGGTCGAATACTTGATTCTACCTTAAGCCCACAACCAAACAAGGAACAGGAAATAAGGTTAAACCAAACATTCTCATGCTATAAAATCTTAGATATGTACAACCATGATGCATACACTAAGCAACTAGATTAATGATGTCAATTTCATCCAAGAAGTGACCATAGGCTATCAGGCATCCTACGTCAGACAATTCTAATACCTGAAGATCCCTAGCCTATCACTAGCATGTTGTTCTATCATAAACATCGTATCAACAACAGTAGGGTAACTTGGGGTATACTTTCTTGCTCCGGCTGGTCGTACACATCGCATCCTTGGTTACTTTTGAAAACAATTTTGAAAACCATTTGTAAAACTTTTATAGTTCCCTAGTTTGAGTCTGAATTCACACGAACGTTCATCCAATTCTCTCAAACCAAGGCTCTGATACCAACTTGTAATATCCCAAAAATCACAATAAATTCTAACTTTTCAAAAACAACCCAAAACCATAATTGATTACAAAATCATTGTATCAAAAGTGTATTTCAGTAATCAGAGTATCCCAAAATCGAAATAACATAAAATGAAGGAAATATAAGTTTGTGTTGAACTTGCAACTTGTTGTTCATTATCATAGCGCCTTGACCACAAGACCAATAACTCTACTTTTATCTATAACCCATTAAACATGCATATATACATAAAATATTGTAGGTTCACACTAACTAAAAATTATTTTTTTACACTAATATGAAAAAATCGAGTTGTTGAATAGGACCACTCAGAACACTCTATAGGTCCTTTCTTTGTGTGTGTATATATATATATATATATATATATATATATATATATATATATATATATATATATTAGTTTATAACCCGTGAAAAACACAGTTATAAATTAATTAAATTTTCATAATAAAAACTTAAAATTATGAATAAATTATTTCAAATAAATTATTTTAAATAAATTATTAATTAAGAGATATTTTTTGTTATATAAAATCATAATCGTTGATTTAAATAAATACATTAAAATTATATCACATTATAATATATATTAATTTTATTTTGTTTTTTGTTCTAGTGTTATTAATTTAATGTAATTAGAGTATGCAATTTAAATTTTGAAATTTGAAATTAAGAGTCAATTATTAGTTTAATGCAATTAGAGTGGAAAATTTAAAATAGAGAATTAATAGGTTAACATGTGGCATGATAGGTGGCATATAATATTAATAAAGATTTCTAATATATTGACACTTGCCAATATGAGAATAAACTTATTTATTTATTAAAAGGGATATATATATATATATATATATATATATATATATATATATATATATATAGAGAGAGAGAGAGAGAGAGTAAATTTTGTATATGATTATAATCAAGTTGGACACATGTCATTGACAACGGTTTGCAAGTAGGGTAATTGCTTTTCTTTTTAAACGGCGAATGAATTATATATTAAAAACCAGTAGCAAGAAGCTATGGAAGAAAGTACAGGGAAGGGAAATAACAAACATATATACAGACAATGGAAAAAACGAGAATTAAGGGATCAAAATGGGCAGCAACTCCATTCTGTCCAAATTTTACCGGAAGTACCCCTGTATTTCAACCATTCAAAACCTTGAAAATTATAGCATCCGTCGTTTTCGTAGGAGAGACCTGTTTCTTGTTGAAAATTTTCTCATTACGAGCAAGCCATATGTTCCAAATTGTCGAGTATAGATTAAGATTTAGTGTATCCCTTTTGTGGGGGCAGTTACCCCAAGACTGTGCAAACTCCATCCTCTCCCTGATGTTGTCTCCTCTTAAGTCAAGTATATCACACCACTTAACGATCCAATACCAAACATATTTTGCAAAACTGCACTCGAAAAAGTGATGGTTCACGGTTTCCATAACACATCCACATAGGTGACAATTGGGATGAATTACTGAAATGCCCATGTGAGAAAGAGCATCTGAGGTAGGGATCCTTCCTATATTAGCCCTCAAAATGAAACATTTGACCTTAAGGGGGATTAAATTCGACCAACATATCAGGTTGCCTATGGTTTGAGTGCATGAGTCATCAATCAGTCGCCTCATGACTTTGACTAAGTATGTCTCATCTTGATTCAAATTAAAACGAAAGCCCATTTTTGAGGAAAAGTTGAATTCCTGTGTAGCGAAGAAGGTATAAAACTCATTTAATTCAGAGAGACAATTAGCATCAATAGGATTTTTGTTCCACCTCCACACGAAACCATTGGTGCTTATCCTATTTGAAAGTTTACACTTTTTGATTGCTTCCAATTGATACAGATGGGGGAATCGGGATTGTAAAGGAGTATCACCACACCACATATCTTTCCAGAACAAAATGCGGATATTAAAACTGGGAACTAAAGAGAAGATAACTTTTGGGTCAATATTATGGCAAGGCAGGCTTTTAACTGCTTTGGCAATATTTCCCCAAACACTAGACTTGCTTTTGCTGCACAGATAATTAGAAGAATGGACTTTGAGATTATGTATGCTTTCAATGACTTCAACCCATAATTGTCCTTGATCATTTCTAAGTCTCCACACCCATTTTTTGAGAAGTGCAGTATTTTGAGCAAATAATGAGCCAACTCCCAATCATCCATTCTTTTTGTCAGCCACGATCATGGACCAGTCGACCCAATGTATCTTCCTTTTTTCTTCGTTCCCACCCCAAAGGAACCGCCTCCTGAGTTTTTCTAGAGATTCAAGAATACCCGAGGGGCTTTGAAAAGAGATAAATAATACGTAGGAAGACTGCCTAGAACCGACTTTATCAAAGTCAATCTTCCCCCGAATGAAAGTGTGTTCGCTTTCCAACAAGATAATCTGGCTTGAAATTTATCTAGAATTGTCTGCCCATGTTTCTTTAGAGTCATATTTGCTCCTACGGGAACACCAAGATAAGAGAATGGGAAAGAACTTCTCAGACGTCCCAATATGATGGCCATCTCTTGTATTTCAGATTCTGGAACATAAGTACCGAATAGACAAGATTTATGAAAATTTACTTTCAAACCGGATGAGATTTGGAAGCATTTGAGTATGCGGGAAAGGTTTTTGATGTTGTTTCGATTCCAATTACCCACAAAAGGGCATCCTCGGCGTAAAAGAGATGGGAGATCTCGGGGCCGTTGTAGGGTAATTTCACGCCATTGATTAGGTGTTTGCTTTTGGCACCTTGTAGAGCTACATGTAGGCCTTCCATTGCAAGTATGAAAAGGAAGGGTAATAGGGGATCACCTTGCCTTACCCCCCCTAGAAATTTGAAATTCATCCGTTGAAGAACCGTTTAACAAAACAGATGCTTTAGAGCTTGAAAGGCAGCCTAGAATCCATTTGCACCATTTGTTTCCAAGCACCATCTGTTTCATAATTGATATTAGATACTCCCAATTAATGGAATCAAACGCCTATTCGAATTCAAATTTGAAACAGTACATGGATTTTTTGTTCTTTTTTGCCCAAGAATAGAGCTCATTTACCATGAGAGGACCTTCGAGAATATTTATGCCTTCAATATATGTTGATTGCACTTCGTCTATGACTAGATGGATGACCCCTTTGAGTCGATTTGCAAGGATTTTTGCAACAATCTTGTATAGACATCCCAGCAAGCAAATTGGTCTATAATCGCTTAATGAAATTGGATCTTTCACCTTTGGAATCAAGGTGATAAAGGACGGGTTACATCCATTAGAGAATGTTCCACTACTTTCAAACCTCCTGATATAACGAATGATATCATCTTTCAGCAACTCCTATTTATTTTTAATGAGCTTAAAAGTGAACCCATCCGGCCCCGGGGCTTTTTTAGAGCCGCATCCCCAGATAGTGCATTTTATTTCATGAATCGAAATATGGGATTCTAATTGAAGACTTTGATTAGGAGGTAGTTTTTTGAACAAGGGGCTGATTAATTTTGGCCTAGAAGGCCAAGGATCTTTGAATTTAGCGGAGAAGAAACTAAAAACCTCCTTTTTAATGTCTGTTGGATTGGAGGACCAACAACCATTAATTTCAAGGCCATGAATTTGATTTTTCCCGCTTTTGACCTTCGCTTTTTGTTTCAAATCGAGTTTTACGAAATGTTCTAGTTCACTTATTTTAACTAGTGTTTCTCGCCTGTCAATAATGTCGGAATCGGAGAGAATGCGAGATTCAGCCTCCAGTTCGATACGATCCACCTTTTCTCTCAGTTGTTTTAAATTGCCAAATTCAGACCTGGAAATATTCGATCTCCAAGATTTTAAGAGATCTTTTAAGTGTTTGAGTTTAGAAAGGAAATAGCGATCAGGTTCGCCAAAGCCGACAAAGTTTTTCCAGGAGTTGTCAAAGAGCATATCAAAATCTTTATGCAACATCCAAGAGTTGAAGAAACGAAATGGAGGAGGTCCGAAATTACTTTCTGATGGTTTGAGGGAGACCGGGGAGTGATCTGAATACTTACGAGGGAGAACCGTCACCGCCGTGAGAGGTTGTAGATTGAAGAAGTTCTGGCAAACCAAAAATTTATCGAATTTGCTTTGTTTGAAACCATCGTCTCGAAGATAAGTGAAATTTTCCCCTTGGTTAAATTCTCTAAGACCGGCCTCTGCTATAAACCAATTGAAGTCGGAGGAAGTGTATCTATAGAATTTTGAATTGAATCGTTCTCTTGGATATCGAACGACATTGAAATCCCCCAAAAATATCCAGTTTCCTGGTGTTTGACTTTTAATCAAGAGAAGATCTTCCCAGAGAGATCTTTTATTAGTTATTGATTGAGGAGCATATACATTCACTATTGTCGTTGTGCCCGGAAATCCTTTCCAAGAACCTAATGTTGCTATGAAGTTTCTTGTGACGATTAATCCAAACTTACTGAAGATAACTGGGTCCCAAATGCTTAAGATACCCCCTGACTGACCCGTTGAGCCCCAACAGCCAGATAGATCTATTGATTTGTTGAGCCCCAACAACCAGATAGATCTATTGAATTTGAATCAGATGCCCTCATTTCTTGTATACCAATAAAATCTGCTTTGTATGTGAGTTTTAGGTTACGAATCCACTCTATTTTACAGGATTCACCAATACCCCTGATATTTAAGGTGATTAAAATCATTGGAAAACAATTGTAACACCCTCACCTTGGACAACCTCAGCCAACTGTGCATCATCTCTGCAAATTTGGAAGCCAACTTCGTTTCCCATTTTAACCATGAGGTCAATTTCGTTGGGAGTTGGAGTTGAATTCCCACACGAGGTATTTTCATGATCTAAGTTTTCGGATTAATCTAGGGATTTATTCAGGTCTAAAGATGGGGAGATGTGATGAGATTTGGGGGGGGAGGTTATATGCATACCAGGTTTGATCAGAGAGGAGCAAGTATTGAATATTCCTATAGGGGTAATGGAAGAGGAAGATAAGTGATCCACCTTTCTCCTTTTTACTAATGAATCACCCGGTTGGAAATTTGGCAATTCATCCATTTGGGTTGGGTTTTTGCATAACAGGGTAGATGTGGGGGTGGCCCATTCATTGTAAATTGATGAAAGCCCATCTCTGTGGGGCCCAACACCAGGTTCATTATTGGGAGAATTAGGGATGACGGGGGGAGATACGACAATTACCTGGTTCTCGGGAATAGACACCACATTAACTGGCGCGTGGGGGCCAAGAGACTCTTCAACTAACATGGGGGGAGCAGTCGTCGTTTTTCCATCAGGAGTCCCCGCCTCGATTTCTGCCATAGGAAGGTCGGAGAGACTGATTCCGTCTTTGTTACCGTTGCCGGCGGCAGGATTATTTCTGATTATTGAATCGAATTCGATCTGCATTGTCTCCTCCATAGAATTCATAATTTATCCTTCTTCTAAATCTTCCTCATGATTATTCACCCAAGTTTTAGAAATACCTTCCTCGTCCGATTTCGCGACTGAATCTGTTTTGGACAAGTCATTATTGTTTGCATCTTCGTCTTCATCATCCAGATGTTCCTGAGTAGCGGGAATGTGATAGAAGGGATGCCAATTGTAGTCATATTCTATGACTCCCACATTGTACAAATTGTTGTTGAATTTGCATGTTACCGCTTCATTAATTCTTGTGAGAGAATGAGTAAGGATGCATGTAGTGCCATACGATAGGTCCATATGGCCCCAGTTGTTCCCGTCTACTTGCAGGGTTTTCCCCAAACTATTTGTAATGGCTTTGTAGTTCTCTTCTTCCCGTAAAGAAATAGGAACTCTTGTGACCTTAACCCCAGTTGTTCCCGTCTACTTGCAGGGTAATTGCTTTACACAACGACCAAAACTGTGAGCCACAAAACCAACAGGAAAGTAGGTAATACCATTATGACTTTATTAAGACCCTGGTTGAAGGCACATATATCGTGCCAAATGCAATGAAGGTCTCTATGACAGAAAAAGCTTTGATAAATGGATTTAAATTCTTAATCTAAAGATCATAAAAAAAAAGTTTGTTAGGATATATAGAGGTGAAAAAAATGTGTATGCTTTTCTTTACAACTATAAAAGATGAATATGAGTATGAATGCATGATGCGGTCAAGGCATAGACCCTCTATGAGATGGTTATGCTTTTTTCTGTTAAACTATGATATCTAAACAAATTATAATGACACAAATGGTAAGTATACGGATTTTATTTTTATATTTGCAAACTAAGAACAATAAAATCAATCGGTGAATGTTTGATCTTGACAAAGATGAAGCTACAGTGAACAAAATTCCATCAAATGGTGCATGGATATTTTATCATTAATGGTTATATATTTGAATATCACCATGCTACCTCTTTAGCTTAAATATATATTTATTATTTAAAAATTATAGTTCGGTCAGCCGACTACACTCAAATGAAGGTCGAATACAATATTCCGACCTAGGCTACTTGCATAGCCCAAGAATACATTTGTTCTTTACAAAATGGAGCTCAGTCAGCCGACTACACTCAAATGAAGGTCGGATACAATATTTCGATGTAAGCTACATACTTAGCCCAAAAATACACTTATTCTTTAAAAATGTAGCTCGGTCAGTCGACTACACTCAAATGAAGGTCGAATAAATATTCTGACATAGGCTACATGCTTAGTCTAAGAATACATTTATTCTTTAAAACTATAACTCAGTCAGCCTACTACACTTACATGAAAGACGAATGCAATATTGCGGCCTAGGATACTTACTTAGTCCAAAAATACATTTCCCCTTTAGAATGTCACCGGACCAACCGACTATATGATGGCAAAAACAACACTTTAACTAAGACTGTAACTACACGCACATGAAAAAATTACACTCGGTAAACATATAAGATGGTCCCGACGAAAATAATACCGCCACAACGAGAACATAATCATGAATACGAGATATATGACAACCCAGTTAAAATTTCTTTTTCAACACAAACCGTCGCTAAAGATAGTATATTGTAACGTCCCATTTCCACAACCAAAAAATTTCATTTTCATTTAAGTAAATCTTCCCAATTAAAATTCAGTTATGGAGAAAACCGTTTATTCCAATTTCATTTAAAAAAATCAGAATAATATTAAAGTGTGGAATCTTCATTGTTGTTGACAAATGTTTACAGTCACGCATTCGCCTTCTCATGAAGATCGATGATACCTGAAACAATAAACAACTGGGTAAGCAAAAATCTTGGTGAGTTTCCCCCAAAATACCCCATACGATAAACATACAAGCATGCATAATTGTCGTTCTACGGCCTTCAGCCTGACTGGATCGCCTTGTAGGCCTTCAGTCTATTAGGGCCAGAATACCAGGGTTTATCGGCATACCGCCTCAACCCAACCGCTCCTCCCGAGCCTTCGTTCCTTTGGCTTACAGCCGGCCCGCACCGGGTATCTTGGTCTACATCACAAAGTTGGACCGCTTCAACCCACTTCCACCATATGTCGACATATAAACAATCAGGATCAAGTAGGCACATAATATACGCAAACAACAATCATACAGCTCACTACCGCCTATTATCCCTCTCACAACATATTGTCACTCTACCAGCTACCCTCCATGAAATGCGTAACCATAAGTAACCTGAGGTGAGATAGCCACCCGAACAAATGATCCTACTCTAGAGCCACAATCAAACAAGGAACAGGCAAAAAATCCTAGATCAAGAATTCTTAGGCTATCCTACATGACCACATACAGTCCCTAAGGCACTCCACTAGATAATAACCAGCAAGTACAGATATCATACAGATCCAACAGTGCACTATAGCATAGCAACATCCTATATAACAGGATACCAATTTAACAGATCACTATAGCATAACAACATCCTATATAACAAGATTCCGATCAAACATATCACTACAACATAACAACATCCTATATAATAGGATACTGATCTAAACAGATCACTACAGCATAGCAACATACTAAGTATCAACAATCCAAGGAATGCATGACCGTATATATTCAGAGGTGAGATAGCCACCTGGACAGGTGGTCCTACGCAATAACCACAACCAAATAAGGAACAGGTAAGAAAGCCTAGACCAAGAGTCCTTGGTCTATCCTACATGACTATATACAGTACCTAAGTCATCCCTCTACTGACATATAACCAAAACTAGTGGGTCGGCATTGGTGCCTTCGACCTACGGTACATTGAGGCGAAACTCACCTGAATAAAAGAACTTTAGACACTGCCATGCAATCCCTTTTTAAGCACTGCTCGATCCTGCGAATCCACTAAAACTAAAACCAGATAGAATCTCAATCAATAGCCCAAAATCCACAAGTTTGACTCAAATTCAAACTTGGTTAAAAAGTCAATGGTCAATGATCAATGAAAGTCATCAGTCATTAGATCCTCACTACGTGACCATATATGGCTCACGTCTTGAGCCACTACAGAACAAAATAATCATCTCTCATGACCCTCACGACGTGACCTGCATCTCCTCACGTTGTGAGATCAGTTTGGAAGCCATTTTGATCCAAAAACTTCTTAATCCATTAAGCCACTAGTCCATCTTTTCTAGGATGCTTCTTATCACTCCAAGGATCATAAAATCAATGCTTTAAGGTCTTGTATGTCCAATACAAGACTTAGGCTCAAACTAGGTCATTCATGGGGAAAAAGAAGATAAATTCTCATGTATGAACGCCAACATCATTCAAACTCCAGATCTATAACATATAAGCACCAAGGGGCCCTAAAGACCCATAAAGTTGACAACTTTCTAGAGTCCCAACACCCCAACTCTTAAGTTCTTGGATAAATATGAATAAAACATTAGATCTAGCAACAAGGAAACATAAAGCTTGGATCTTGGTTACTCATATTGGTCCAAAAGTTTAGCTAAAGGTTGCAAATGAAGCTTCCAAGTTGAAACTATACTTTCAAGATGATCTCTTCCACTCCAAGGCACAAAAACTCCACCAAAAGTCCAGGAATCATAATGAGAGGCTAGGGTTAGGGTTTTATTGAGTTTAGGGATGAAGGAGGTTGTTTAGAAACCCTAAAATGAGCTTGATGGGGTTTAAATATGAAAGGATCCCTTAAAAGATCATGGGCTTAGGGTGCAACATATCTCACATCGTGAGCTCTCATTGCTCACGTCGTGAGCCTAATCTAAATCAAAATCTTCATTTAACCACTCCTTACGTCGTGATCTGGCTCACGTCGTGAGCCTTGGTTTTACCCCCAAAAACATGCCTTGACTCCTTGAAACCCTAAATCGATCCGATACGGAGAACCGAGTGTTACAATTCTCCCCCACTTAAATTCGATTTCGTCCTCGAAATTACTTCTCGCTTCCATACTAGATGTAACCCTCTGAGGGCCCTTAAAACCTGACTCCTTCGACATAGCTGCAAACCTTAAAAGAAAGAAACAATCCAACGATAAACGATTCCCCAAAACATCGCTATTTCATAAGAGAAGAATTCTCTTTTCAGTCCAGGACCTTCAGGTCCCGACATCACGGACATCCTTCAGGCAAAGTGATCCACCCCACTGATAATCGTGCTACCCAGGACTTCGAATCCATGCCGACCAAGGTTTCCCAGCCTTACATCGCTCATCAACATCCAAATTAGGAATTTCATCCCACATCAAGGCTGCCAACCTCACACACGGACGCATCAGAGAGCAATCCTCACAAACCCAACAAACAAGACTAAACCATCCTTTCTATCAGTTATACCAACCGAAATTCACAGATTTTGATCGGTCCTAGATCTACTCAACCAACTGTCACTATACCAACTTTGCATGAACATGCAACAACATAAGGAATTCCAATGATCGTATACACAACTAGACCACACTCCTACTTGGTTCAGACAACCCTGCTTAGCTATCTACTGACTACACTCAAGCTTACCCACGATCCAGTAACTGATAACAACACTTGGTCCTACCCCCGATCCAGTAACCAATCAACATCACTCGGGCTCAACAAGGCTTAACTGATCCTACCAGTTCTTCGGGTTGTAACTCGGACCTCCAAGCCCCAATCAAATAAGAAAATACAAGGAAGCCCTCATCACAACCCTCAACCTGGGCTCCTAACACCCTAGAGTCTAAAGCACAAACACGCCCTACGTATGATGCCACAACTAAAAGTAATATGACATGAAGGGAAATCTATCAGGTGACGATGATCTTGATGTGCAACCGGAAGATTCAACAGTTGCGTGGAAGTCTTGAACTTGGAGAATTCTGAATGAGAACTGAACCTTGGCACAAGGTCTTCCTGCTGTGAGGTTCCACTCTCCCCCACTTGAGATATTCTAGAGTCTGACAACTTCATAACCCTTCAATACCCAGACTAACTTGAGCTCTACCACTTGATCCCAACTACTGATATCCTGATACGTAAGTGAATCTGAATCCTCAAAACTTTCATAAATTTCAACATGCATACAATCGAGGACAAGATAATTAATCCATTCATAATAATAATTTAATTAAAATATAGCTAATAAGGCAATTTCATTCAATTGATCATCCAATGTTCCGGCTCTGGAGAGAGTGGGTAGGATAGGCTAGGGATGACAGATGATCATATTCGGGAGATCATCGCCGCTAAGGTGGTTGCTGTTGTCCGGGGGTCCATGTCGGAGTTGTTTAGGTCTATCAAGACCGCC